ATAAGATATAAGCAAGTCAAATTAAGAACTATTTGTTTTCAATTAGTGGTAGTATATAGAGAAATGGAGTTTTAAGAGACAAAAATTTTTGAATAGTTCAATTAAGTAAATAGGATTGTATTAAATTTTTGAAGAAGAGAAATAAAGATAAAATAAAATAATTTAAATAGAATAAATATTAATTGTTAATTAAAGGATTTGCATCATAGATAAAGTCAGTTAAAAATTTGAGTCTTTTGTTTACTAAAGTCTTAATTAAATATTTGTAATTAAATATTTGTAATTAAATTTTGATTTAAGACTTGTGTTAAATACTAGTTGAATACTTTTTCCTAGATAGATATCAATAAAATATAGTTTAATAAAAGTAAATAGTTGTTAAACAATTAGATTATTAAGTTTGATATTATTTTTCATAATATTAATTACTGAATATTCTTTAAACCAATTGAGGTCATTACTAGTATTTCTTTGAGTTTTTTTTCTTTTGTTTTTGTTATTTGGAATACTGTTGTTTTTTGTTTTTCTTTAAAAAAAAGGATTTGAGAAGTTAGATTTTGTTTATTGAATTTCATTTGTTAAATTTTAATAAGAACAAAAATTAGCTGTTGTTTAAGAATAAGAGAAGAAATAATTTATTTTTTAAAATTAGAAGAAGAAGTTTAAGTATTTAAACTAATCAGTTTAGATTTAATTAAATTGTAACTATTTGTTATTAAAATATAAAAAAAAAAATTTGTATTAATAGTTTAAGTTTAATATCTAATAAACTAGAAACACAAAGTTTATGAATTAAGTTTTGTTTAAAGATTATATAAATTGCATAATTAGAAGCATAACTATATTATTTTATAACTATACAAGAAATATTTTTAGCTTTGTATATAAGATATATATAGTAATATTGAGAATATGTAATGATTGCAAAAGGTATAAGATCTATTTAAAAACTGAAAAATAATACAGTATATAAGGTTTGAAAAAAGATAGATTAAATTGTTATTGTTTTAGAGTAGGTGATTAAGATAGTTCATTAGAAATTTTTCTAAAATGATTAATAAAGATAGTAGAAGTAATTTGAATCATAAGTTGTTTAAGAGAAGTAACATGAAAAATTCTATAAAATCAAAAAATGAAACTAGTATAATATATTTTACAAAGACATGTACTAATAATAAGTTGTTGAAGAACTTTGAAATAATAATATTTATAGTAGTATCACAATTAATTAGATTAATATTTACCAGAAATATATATAGAAATTAAGTTTTTTTTGATTATTTTTATACTATAATGATCTTTATATTTACTATGATAGTAGTTAATATCAAAGGAGTCAGAATCTTTAGATACTAAAGTAAACATAGTTTAAAGTTTGAAAATTAAAAATGAAATAGATTATAGAGATCTTAGATATAAAAGGATCTGAAAGATATAAGATATAACAAATAAAATAAGAGAATATGACAAATAAGTAGTACAGAGTGTGCAAGACAAGTAGTAATAATAATTGACATTAAACAAATTTTTATATTAATTAATTGAACCAAAAATAAAAAAAATTAAAATTTATATTAAATTAATTAATGATGTAACTTTTAGTAGTGATCTATAGGTGCTAAGCATTCTAGAATATAGGACCCTCACAAAAAAAAGAAAAACTTTTTTTGTAAAAAAAGAACAGAAGTTTTATAAAAGAATTTTAAAGATTTTTTATATAAAACCTTCAATATCGATATATATAATATATCAAAATGAAGTTCTAAATAAGCTCTGTCTTTTTGTTCAAAAAAACAACTAAAATTAGTTTAATAATTATTAAAAATTTTAGAAAACATAATTTGCAGTTTAATAGATATATCTTACTGTACAAGGGTCTGACAGATATAAAATTAAACTACCTATATATAAAATTCTAATATGAACAATTTTATTTAATAGACCAAAAAAGATTTACTTAGTAAATTATTTAGTTATTATCAATTTATTATCAGAAAATTTTAGTATAAATGATTTGTGTTCTTATCTATATTCTAAAAAACTTACCTATACAATACTTTATATAATAGAACCTTCTATAATGTTATTATCATATATAATACCTTCTTTCTACAAAGTTAATCTTCTTAAAAAAATTTTTAATCTGTATTTGTACTTTATTTGAAACTTTTCACAAAATTTTGCATTTAATTTGATTTCTATTTTAAGTTACAGGCTAAAATTATTTAGATTTTAACTCCAACCTAACTTGAACTGTTAATTTTGTATATAAGAATTAACAACTTATTCATTAAGTATAAAGCCTGACCTCTAAATAATAATTAATATAATTTTTAAATATTGTATAAAATTAACTTTTTATAGCAAAAATTAATACTGATTGTTTTAGAAATAAAAGATATAATAAAAGATATAAACAAAAAATAAAAAAGAATAAGAAGAAAAAAAACTAAACATAAAACTCATGTTTTATTATAAAAATAAATATTCACAATTATAAACTTATATTAGGATTTTAAAAATTATAAATTACTAAATACTAAAGTTTATATTACTAACTATATTTACTTAAATTTTTAAAATAAAAATCATATAGAATAACAATAGTAAGTCTTAATACTAATTGGCCAATTATATAATAGCTTTATATTACATAATAGAAGCATGCCTCTTAACCCTGTGCCAAACCCTAGATATATTGATAGCATGATGCAATAAGCCATGATTTATTGTTTTAGTATCTAAATAATAAATAATAAGCCATATAAAAAATGCGCTAGGATATCTAATAGCTTGACATTATACCAAATTTATAATGAAGAGTCTAGAAAATGAATAACAGATCAAATCTCTTAGCAACGTGCTATGACTAATTGTCGACAAAAATAAATCATGCTCATCAACATAGCAAAGCCCTTTCCAAAGTTTTAGAGTTTGACTTCTCTATAAATTTTTATTTTTACTAGAGGTCTTGTTTTCAAGGGTTTCACCTTTTGCCAGAGATTTCACCTTTCGCCAGAGATTTCTCCTTTTTCGTCGGGCTTCGCCTTTCGTCAGGGTTTCGTCAAGGTTTCGCCATTTCGCCAGGAGACTTTGTATTTGATATTTCTCAGGTTTAGGTTTCGCCTTTTGCTATTTGAGCAAAGTGGTTATGCCTAATAACTGCAGTTAGGAATAGACTGTCCCAAATTGATTCATTAACTCTTACATTAATTGACTTAGTCCTAGAAGGATTTATCCGCATCAACTAGTATTTTAATTGTATCGATAACATGTGATGCTTTGTCATAAAAATTATGTTATGAGAATGATTATAGCAAGATTTATTTTAAATCTTGATTATTGAAAGCGCTACACAATTTAATATGGGATTTAATAGTAAATCGATAAACTGTTATCGTATGTATAGAACCTCCAAAGATATTAATATTGTACAAGAGTTACGGGAGTAAGTTGGTTATCACATGGTCAACCAAATTTACATGCGTGTTTATTTTTCATTTTATTATATCATATCAAACACTTTTTGATACATAAAAAAAAACAAAATTAAGAACCAATGAAAATGGTGCGATAACAATTATTTAATGATTTCCGCATTAAGAAATCCCCCACAAAGCCCAACATTTTTTCAGCCATTGATGAGATAATACAATGACAATGACCTTGAAGGTTGCACGGTGAGATTTTAAAAAAAGCAGATAGAGAAAATTTCGCCAAAAAAATTTCGCTGCTAGGTTAGTGTTAGATTTTACTATTAATTTAGGTTAAAAGATTTAACAATTTAAATGTAAAAATATAATCTCATAATTAAATAGTTAAAAATTGAGTTGGAAAATTGAATTATTAATACCGTGTTTTGTGGATTAAAGTACTATTTTTGCCAAATAGTGTGACGTGTATTAATTGATATTTAACTTTTTATGAGTAAAAAATTGTATTACGTAGGTACTTTAATCCACAACATACGGTAATTAGCAATGTCAAAACCAATCGTTTTCTAAGAAATTATTTAGCTCGTGGATAAATGGCGAGTATTTTTTTTGTATAAACATACAGTATTATAATAAATCGTAGTTCAGTAGTTGAGAATATTTCGTGTCCTAAAATCATTTGCTTATTAATCATAAAATCAGATGACCAACATAAAATATTACAAGGTTTTAGTGCACTACCGAATTAGCAATATGTTCATACGGAATAGATTTGCGAAAACTCCGCATGCAATACAGATTAACTGAATCTGTTACTATCAATCATAAAATATAGAAATGATGAGACACTCTATTTGAGTATGTATTAAATGGTAATAAGCAAACCGCCAAACTGTAACTATTTGGCGGGAAACTTGAGGAATCATAAACCGTTTATTTTTTACCGTCATATAACACAAATTACGTAAAAGTGGCTTGATCATGTGAATTAAACTAATCTGGCCAATTAGACTATAATATTGGAAGTACCTTGAAAATCATTCAAAAATATTCTTTTGAATTCTAAGATTTTAAACATTTAAGGCTTAATTACTTTAAATCTCATACGATTCTTTTGTTGATTTCCGCCTCACACCTAATCAAGCAACTTTCTGATTGATCATATACACGTAATATAATATTTTTTGTCGATGGTTTCTACACAGAAGACTTTGCTGGTAAAAAATTCACATAAACCACATGCTCTAAAGCGATGGTGTTCAAGATAAGAAAAAAATGCGCAATTCAGTGGTAACAACATATTTCGTATATCTAAAAGCAATGAAGTAATTTTTAATTCTTGATCAATTGATGTCTAAAAAAGATATCATTGAGATTAGTTGCAAAATCTTGAAAAAAACATTTATAATGACTTGAATTCAAGAAATCTACCTTAGTGTTGTCTCTGGAAGACCATTGCAAGGCCATTAGAAAATCACTGGAAGCAAAATTAATAGTTTCACTTGAACTTTACTATTATAAAATTCCATTGGAAGGTCAATTGACAACACCAACATACACAAAAAAATGTCATTTTTTCAAACTTTAGTCCTTCAGAATATATTTCCACCAAGGCATAATGATCCAAATGATATAATAAATATGCTCCATATATATTTTAACACCCAGTCTGTGACTGCCCGTGGAGCATTTAGATTTAATGTTTATAAAGAAGCCGAAAGGCTTGGATTTAATAACCAACATGAAATAAATGCCGTTGTGAGTAAATTATGGAGCAATGCTACTATCTTAGAGAAAGAACAATATAAAACCTTGGCTACAAATATAAATGCGTTGCTTCCAAGAAGATTTCCGATGAGAACTTTTAGAAGACTTTAAATAGACTAATCAAAAAAAGAAGTATCTAGCAACAAAAACAGTAACAAGTAAAAAAAAGGAGATGTTATTGATCGCATTTATGAATATAAAAAATAGACTGAAAATTTGACATTTAATAGATTAAGGCTATTGGGGGATAATATGATTTTTTCTGTTTAAAAATGTTTAAAACATATTTATAATTCTGTATTTATACATTTTATTATGCTACTTTTTTATATGTATGCTGGCTGGCAATATATGACAATAAAATATGAACTTTATATGAAATTACAAAGTGTATGGTTTACCCGAGAAAGGAAATGGGTAAAACTAGGCGCATCACGGATTATCTGATATTGAATTTAAATTGATTTGTATTATGGTAATTTAGTGATGTGTTACCTCTGAAAAGATTAAACTAGACAACTACTAATAGGGCATCATGTGAATGGAACACGACAACGTGCTGTGGTTATTATATGTATTATAGGTAGAGATGGGTAACAGGGTTTAACTCACCAGCCTAATAAATTTCGCTAGCCAATCAGATTTCGAAATCAGGTGTAACGTGAAAAAAGTTCAAGAAACAAAAATAAGTCAAAAATCGCCCATAACTCGAAATTTTGCCTATGCAACTGCCTTCTGTATACTAATAAAAAGTTTTCCTTGCAAAATTTTGGTATAACTATGACCCTCTAAATCCAACTCATAGCGATACCCTAAACCTAACCTAAGAGCGAAATGTTTTTTTTCTTAGCGAAATTTTTTTAATGGGATCACATAATAGCGAAATTTTTTAGACTGGCATTGCTAGTCTCATAGAGATGGTTCATGCGCGGGATGCGCGGTTTTTTTTTGGATCTCGCGCAGGATTTTTAATGAGATTATTTGGCCTGCATTAGCATATCATCTGGCCTGCATTAGCATATCATCCGGCCTGCATTAAATATAATCCGGCCCGCATTAACATTAATGGGCCAATTTCTAAGACTGGGTAAAATCGCAAAAAAATTTAAACGATAAGTAATAAATTAATCATTTTATTTATTTCGAATAACTCAATAAACGTATTATTTATTATCGCAAGGTTAAATCGGTGAAAAAATGATTTTTTACATGAATTTTTAGTCTCGATATATTTGTCACGTGAAGTTCGAAACTTTTGGTGGCTGTTTTACCCGGTCTGCATTTCTACGTAGAACTTTTATTTTTTTATCATTCTATATATACAGTATATGCATATGCTTGATATATTTTTTTTTTGCCGTTGGTAGTTCTTACTTACTATTCCTTGTTATAATAAATAAACCCATTATTAAGTCATTCTTTAAACAACATTATTATAACATGAGTGTTAATAAACCGATTTGGTATCATTTTGGAATGCTAAATGTATTTAAAATATATTATTTTAACAAGAAATTATATTTCTACTTATTATCTTTATATATATTCTTATAATTCATGAAGAATTAAAAAACATTACTATATTCCGCGAATCCCGCGCGGGATTTTTAAAAAACTGCGATTTGCCCATCACTAGTGATGGGCAAGCACGGGATTCCGCGCGGGATTCATCACGTGATGCACGGGATAATTCGGGCCAATGCCATAATTCCAGCCGAAACTTACGGTAATCTTG